TCTCCGTTTATTTGACTTTCATATACACTCACAAATTGAGAGGCGGCCTAAGCCTTAGGATACAAACATTTACCTATTATTATTATTAATATTCATCTTGATCATCGTCAATTTATTGATTGAATGAATCGAAACTAATAAGCGTCAGAAATTTGAAAAAACCAAAACATTCCCTAAATAACTGTTTCTTGATTCGTACAATAGTTCAAAATGCGCAAGCAGTTTGATGACAAAGCAAACAAACATTATAACAGCAAATTATAATGATTGTGTTCACACGGTTGTGGTACATCATATTTTAAAAAACAGATCTCCTAATAAGTAGGCGTCGAATTAAACTTAATATATACATCACATAACGAAAAATAAATTATTTATTTATTTATTGGTTTCAAGATTACTAAAAAATACTTAAATCTAAATCACTGAATCAAGTCTTACACTGCGCATTGTGTATAACAGTAAACGCAAAACTAACAATAATAGAAGCTGTCAACTAGCTACAAATAATTTACATTGTTACACAATAATTAACTATTTACATTTACAAAGATGCAACCGCTCTAAAAAATAGATATTTTATATTATTATAGTTTAAGTTTTAATTAAATCACTGGCGTTTGTACAAAACACATCGTAATATCGCACTGGTTGCAAGGGGTGGGGGGGGTTGTGCTATTACACTTAAAATACAAAATATAACACATAGGGACGCAACATAAGTTAAATCGAAAAAAAATAGATACGTTCACTATAAATATCAGAAAATATACGCAAAACGTCTAGGTGTATAAGGTCCAGTAAAACAAATTCAATCAGCGTAAATAAAAAATAAAAATAAATGCATGCAAAGCAGATGTAATATTTGGAATAAAAATAAGATAATTTTAAATAGACGAATAGCACTGATTTATCAATATTTGAAACGAGCTACCCTTTAAAAGTAAAACAGTGGAAAAANAAAACGTCTAGGTGTATAAGGTCCAGTAAAACAAATTCAATCAGCGTAAATAAAAAATAAAAATAAATGCATGCAAAGCAGATGTAATATAAAGGGAAGGTTTTAATGATAAAAAGTTAGTGAAATTACGAAGCAGCGACAAAATCACAATCGAGCGCAAAAATCGCAAAATGTGTGAAACATTGTGAACGATGCCCATTGTTATAAGTTATAATATAACCATAAAACACAGATTTTATCGATATATAATTGATGTGAATACTTAATACAATTGTCAATTTACTATACTAACGACCGTAAAAAATTCATTCATAAATTTTATGATGTGTCTACGACTTTAGGAATAATGAATGTATTTATAATTGATTGATATTGCATTAACTTTTTTAATACAGAATATTTGATATTGCATTTTAATTATCTACTGTTAAAAAATATAAACTTTTGGCTGTGCATGTTTTAATAGTCAAAGGATTCAATAAACTGGACAATTTTTTCGGCTAACTACTCATTACTTAAATATAGTAGTTTTAGTAAGGAACAATTGCGTCCAAGTGTTTTTATTGTTAAATATGTCAGTTCGGCACTTAAAAATGATACAATCACAAACTGCTATTAGAGTGCGATCGAATAGAAAAAGTTCACCTTTTTATTTTTTCACGATAACTCAAAACTTATGCAGGTTAGGGGCTTATTACGGGAATGTTTTTCTGTAGTAAATTAAATTACTCATCGGAAAACCTTGTTGAAAAATTCTTCTGATGTTTTCAATATCAAAAATGCTTGGATACAATAAAAAGATGAAAATGTGACGAAAATCATGTTATTCTTTTATTAAGTCGTTCATAATTTCTTTTTGAGATATTTTAGGTATACATAAAAGCTTAGTAGACAAGAAAGCGCATGAATAATCTGAAGAACGCACCCCGATATTTGATAGCACTTTGTGTTTTTACCATTTTTAGTTGTTAAACGAACATATTTGACAATAAAGACCCATGGACGCAATTGCCCCATACTAAGTGCTTGACTTTGGACATATTTAATAGCCTAAAATTATTTAGTAAAGTTGCATTCTAGATCAGTCCGTGGACCGGCCGACACCAGTCCGTATGGAAAATGTGGCCGGTCCGCTAAACTAGATCGTGTGAGAATGAGTTTTCAACAATAAGTGCAATGAAAACAAAATGTAAGAATAGTTTTGCGTTGATAAAACTAATGAAAACAAAATGTAGGAATAGCAATATCATCGATTTATTGAACCACGATAAAGAAACTGGTCAAAATTTTTGCTTTGATAAATTTGAAGTGATTCGTTATACATTAGTAAAAATAAATAGTTTACGAAGCACTGCTCTAGGGCTAATTAGCCGAAACAATTGTCGAATTTTCGTGAAAATATATTCGTTGACGTTCGTTTTTGTTCATTTATTAAAAAAAAATACTAAACATCATCAAAATGTATTATAAAAGGTCAGAAAACATTGAGAACGTTGACGTATTTAGAACTGATATTGTGACTTTTTTGACAATTTGTATTAGTCGAAGCAAAAGTCAAAGGTGTGATTTGTAGACAGTGTAATGTTTGTTATGCACTGATCATGTGATTCGTCGCTATAAAAACTTGAAGCAGGTCCGGATTAAGAAGGGGATGGAGTGAATAAGGATGCATCTTTGTAAATAGACGGAAAATATAGACATACGTATAATAGAAGAAGATAACAAAAGAGTACACGTAATTTAGAGAGCATGAGGGTTGTTAGAAAGTACGCGAGGATTGTAACAATTGATCGAGTCGAAAGTACATAACAAATATACCAAAATATAAAATAGTTTCTTATCTTTTTCATTGTTTTCTGTATAAAAAATGGAGATAAAGAACAACGCGACGACCATTTTTCATTCTATAGTAGTAGTTAGTTAGTTAGTTAGTTAGTTAACTTGCGATATGAAATATAATAGGAACCTCGGTCGAGCGTTTATGCACGCCCTGTATGAATAACGAAACACATATACATAGAATTAGAATGCCTAAAAAATCGTAATGAGTCAATAAAGATATTACTATGAATAGTAATAATAATCGTGTAATACGTCAGAGGTGGCAGCACTTTGACTTCCACGTGTCACACTCACTTAGCATTGCTAGAGATGCGAGGTAAACCTGAAGGTACAGGCGGTCACACGGCCAAACAGCGACGCTGCCACGATTTAGAAAAGACGAGTCGAATAGCTCAAAACAGCTCAAATTTCGAAGGTTGCATCATCTATCTGATAATAAAAGTCCGATCGAAAAACGTTTCGGTTGTAAAGAAGCGTTCAGATATGTGTGGCGTGGCAAGCGGCGTGGCGCGTGTACCGCGCGATCTCCATGGCGTATCGCGTTCTTTTGTTTTTTTTTTTTATATCAACAATCACACTTAGTTCCAAATAAACTCACTAAAATGCGAGGCAGGTCATACCGAAGTATTTCCCATTTTGAGTTCTTTTGGATACGTAACCTACGCTGTAATATTTAAAATTTTAAATATAATTTCTACTACTATATATTATACGTACTTTGCCGGTGAAACCCAACGTTAAAACATAACTATATGTTATTACTTAAACACCATATCGATTACTATTTATTATTAGTAATTAGTAGGAACCAATTTTTCATTTCATTTTTTTTTTTACTGCTGGCGAGTAGTGCCAGTAGTTGTGGTGAACGACGTGTAATACCATGAAGCGGGCGGGGGGGAGGGGGAGTCCCCGTGCACTCATACCAGCTGATATACATATACATATATAAGATAAATACAGCATTTCACTTATTAACCCTTATAATGTGTTAATAATAAAAGTTTGTAATAATTTATAGTAATAATAATCATTAATAAAAAAATGTCCGCGGCCAACATTAGCAGCAGGATCAGCTCGATTCTAGTAGTCGTTTAGTTAGTTATTAGTTAGTTTATATTAATAATAATTTATTAGTTTCTTAAATAAATAATTTCGTTGGTCCGCGGACGAATAGGAACTTGTTTTACTGGGCTGCCCGTTTGTAGTAACTAACCCGGGCCCTGCTGATGGCGATGAGGGTGACAGTATTTATTTTTGTTTTGTTTATTATCAATATCTTTTTTGTTTTGCGCATTGGTAGCTCGAGGCCCCCATTGGGGTTTGGACCCGAGACGAAGAGCGCCGCATGTATAAATCTACATGAATACATTCCGAATTAGGAACCTTGTTTGTCGTAGATACAGGCCAAGAAGCGATTAATTCGCACCCTTGGCCATGAGAATTTAGAGGAACTCTTGCTTGCACGTCTATACTATATGTATAGGTAGAAACTATATTATACGCTTATTTACACCATACTATTTGCAAAGTAAATAGGCGGAAAAGGCATAAACACGAGTGATCACGTTTCAGTACAAATTTCTCTTTTTTGTTTCCCCTAAAGACTGCTTGACAAAATGAAAAAATAATTGAGATGTTAGGAATCTCATAATGTTCGTTTTAAGACTGCTTTGTCCCAAGATTGTTACTCCACATTATAAAATAATAAATTTGTTGGAAAGCTCAAACCATAAGAAGAAATTATTTACACAATTGCGATCATTCATAATTATGCCCGTATCATAACACTCATGTCATAGTAACTATGCGTTGCATTAGGAATCATCATGTCAATAGTAAATAATCATATTTTTACCACCGCACCTACCTACTCAACTATACAACAAATACACAATTACACTGACACATTTATGGTATAACATTTAAAAATATAAATCAGCTGTAAATATAGTTAGTTTATATTAGTCCGACTTGCCTTAATTCTGGAACTGGATGCCGCAGTGGTTGTTGATCGCGTTCTGAGAATCAACTCGAAAAGAAAATACATAGTGATAAAAACGAGAAACAAAACAGAAATGATTACGATCCTCAACCGACCACCGACGTCATTAGGAACTGGTTGATTGTTAAAAAGAGAGTAGGTATATATAAGACGGTCTTACGTGGCCGGCTGCGGTTTGTATTGTCCTCGGAGCACATCTCAGTGACCGGCACTGGTTAAAGGCTGTTGGGCGACATCACCAGGCGTCAAGAATCGCCGCTTAGGATCCGGCGGTTGACAGAACGCGTTCGAATTCGAGTCCAGACCGCTCCTGTTCGAGTCTGGAGTGGACTCTTGTGCAGCAGCACGTGCTGCCAACAACGTGATCTGATTCACCACGTCTTCCATTTCGTGACTTAACGGCGATTCCGACGGCGGAGGCAGAGATGATGAAGAACTAATGCCACTCAATTTGAATTTTTGCGGACAGCTGGTCTCCGCGTGTTTCCAGAATCCCTGGAGCGTTTTGAAGCGTTCCTGGGGACAGTTTTTGCACTCAAAACCGGTTTGAACGATGCGGAAGACGCCGCGATTGTCTAAGTTGCCGCTGTAGCACTGACGCTGATGGTTGATGAGATGCGATTCGACTGGGAAAGCCAGACGACATTTTTTACATACAAAACAAACCTCTAAATCGATTTCTCGCGCGGGCAGATCCATCATGGGCCGCGGACTTGTCTCGTTCATCCGAAGGGTTGTCACCCCCGGCTCGAGATTACCCGCGGCCACCTGCTCTAAGACAGGAGGTGGCAGCGGTAGAAACGAAGGCCCCGTACCGGTGTCTAATAGTAGCCCTCCAGGTCCGCCTGAAACAAAAGAAAACAGATATGTACATTCTGTACAGCTTTTAATATTGTGAAAAATCATGTCATCAAGAGAAAAACAGTTGTTGGGTCTTATACTAGACCAGAAGTAAATGTAAATATACACATAATGGATAAATATTCGATGATTGAAAAATGTCGATGTGTTGTGCTTTGATCTGCGCCGTTAGCTCAATTAAAGCAAATTCCTAAAAAAGGAAATTTGCCTGCCAATTTTACGTACCTTAACATGAATTCCCGAATGGTGGCCTTCAAAATTTCAACCCCGAATAGCATTGAAAAGCAAAATTTTAAAGGGAACGATTTAGAGATTTTAAGCACCGATGCACATCGCAAGAAGAACGTTAAAGAAATTCCGACTAATTAATAATTACAGCTTAAATTGAATTGTGAAAGATAATTTTCTTTTGAAGATTTTCCCTCTTCCACGAAAACGTAAAAAAAAATTGCCGAACTATCTACTCACCGCCAGACCACACACTCGGACCAAAGTTCTGTTCAATTCATAAAATAATAGATCATACGTAGGACAAACTGGAAAATTTCCTAAAGATAGAATTAAAGAACATAGGAACAACAATAATCAAATATCGAACTAACACGATTTTAATGATAATTTTAAGAAAATAAAAAACTAAAAGAAATTTGCCATGCAGCATTGCTACAACATACGCATTTATTGTTTAACTATTCTCATATCATGATGTTCTAAACTGAAGTGTACGTTAACACCAACACTATTTTGTGAATGAACTAATAACAATTTCTTTTTTCCTTATTCATGAATGCTTATTATTGTAGGTAACCTAATTATGTTATTTTATTTCCTTTTTCAATAATAATAATTTATTAATAATTAAGTTATAGAAAGTTTAGGTTGTTCCGATTTGAAATTTATTCTTAGAATGTATTTCGGGGATCGGGGTTTGTCTAAAGGCATCGGTGGGTCAGACACTCACGGGGCCCCTACGTTTCCAACTTTTTTTTACTGTAATTATAACACTTAAGAAGTACACAAATCTAAATCGGTATTCAAGCATCAAGTAGACCCTCACGAAGAGAGTGGACACTCATATTCTGTTCACATTTCTATACATTTAAAAATGTGAGACTATAGTAAGCACTCAACATTATGCATATCACCCAATGTGTGCAATTTTTTATCTATCAAATTAGCATAAGTATGTCACCGTTAGAACAGGCAGAAAATTATACGTCATGTAGTTTAGTTAATTAATTCTCGGAAGTATTAATTTATAACGCCAAACTGTCACAGTATGTATAAATTATAAGTGTAAGCCGTGTAATAAATAATAAATTGACGTTATTTTAAAACGATTGAATTGTTATATAATGTAATAATTATACTTTCTTTTATTAATGCTGTATTTCTACGACTATTCAATATTTACCTGGAGATACCAACAATATATTTAGGACTTAAATTAAAAATAAATGAGAAAATTTGCTGATTAAAATCCTACTTTATGTTTGTAGGTTAACGGTAAATTTATTATAAAGATGTGGGTGTAGATAATTATGGATTATATTTATTAATCAGACGAGCTGAGGCTCTTTTTCCATTTAACATTCCTATAAATCATCCTTAGTGAGGTTATGGCGTAAAAAATACTTTCTGTCATAAGTTACCTGAAACGTATGCAAACGAAGAGGTCATAAGTTTTTTAGGAAATGTCTGTTTATACTTAAAAGCGACATCGCTGGACACCATTTTTAAACGCATAATTAACGCGAGATAAGCGGTAGTTATGCGTGGGCGCATTAAAAAAATCGCTTCCATAAATAAATTAAAGAAGGCCACGGCTAAACAATCGCATAAAAACGTCCATAAAATTAAACAAACGACTGTCGCCTTTCGGTAGAATGACATTTTTGACGCGGATCTCCGCGGAGCGCACCAATAACAACGTCACTCCCGCGGCCTGTAACGACAAACTCCCAATTTTATGGAACGGAAATTTATTCTTATTGGAAACGCTGATTAGTCCGTATTTAAAATCCATAAGTTCCACGGCGACCTCCCATTAAAAATGCTCTACACGTTCTAAAATAAATAAAGGACGCCATTAGAATCGTATGCAGCAGATAACACACTTGTCAATACATTAAACTGAACATTCTGCCCTATCGGCCAACGATTTTACTCCGCCGAGAATACGAGACACGTTATCGTCGTAACTTGGCTGACCGCCTGTGTCCGAGACGAGCCCAATGTAACGCAGCCTTGTATAAATTTGTATCGCGGTTGTGTCTTTGATTGAGCCTGATTAAAATGTAGTTAAGTCGCGGCCCACTCGATCACACTTAACATTTATTTCGGTGACGTCTAGCACAAGAGCAACGCCTGACGGACGAGATCACATCGCGTCGGATTCATCATAACACGCGTCCATTTCAGGCCAAACCCTTACATCATATTCATATATATATTTTACAGGAGGTATATAGAGTCACTTTTCCATAGGTACCATGTATTGACATTTTCATTAACTATCAACGATCCTTAACTAATTATTTCATTAATTACCATGCCCCCAAGACGATCGCTGCCAAATTTGGCATCATCTACACCATCAATGTTTGTGGTAACACCAACAGCTTTTACAGTAACATTTTCATTATTAAAAACTAAAGCTTGACAACGAACAGAGTTTTAAATTGTCCATTTCCACTATTTTGATACCATGTCAACAGCAGAAGATGAAAGCATTTCATTCTAAAACCCCATTCTTCAGGATCTTCTTGTAGAGATGATTCAGAAAATAATCTCTACCAAGGATACTTAAAGATGTCAATTAATTTTTTAAACATATTAGTACCTAACAGGACGAAATTCTTATACTTAGCAGTAAAGTCTTAAAACTGATGAAATAATTTTCATTAGAAAAGCTATTCGTTTTCGTATTATGTATAATGAAGACTGCGGCATCGTGAAAAGATAGAAAATACAATAATAGTAAAACTACAGAGTTGTTCAGGATTACTAGGTATTTTTGGAATAGAAAATTAATAAGTGTGACATACTTTGTGGTGTTACCGGCAAATGATGAGGATACCGTGGTTAGAGGTTAGAAATGAAGAGGTATTAGAAAGAATATGAGAACAGAACTCTATGGAAGTCAATAAAAAATAGGCGAGATAGGTCACCTTTTCAGGCATGAAGATGTAGTCAAAGAAATATTAGAGGCAGAAACAGGAATTAAGAGGAGTAGAGGTAGACCTAGATTAGATTACTATTCTTAAATAATTAAGGATGTGGAATGTTCTAGTTTTAGGGAAATGCGAAGATTAGCTCAGGATAGGAAGGAGTGAAGGTGCGTGTCGAACTAGTCTTAGGACTGACATCTTTTGATGATGATGATGATGATGTGACATATTTTTGTTGACACTTACCAATGTCATTAGGAAAAACGTAAAAGTTAATGATATGGGGAAGAATTAAGAAAAACAAAATTAATGTAACAAAAATGACAATAGCGATCGCGAGAAGCAAAAATTACATCATGAACGCTATTATGTAGGTACGCAGGAAGATTTTATGGTCGACGAACGTTCATGCAAAAATTACAAGAAAACTCAAATTAGCATACCAATAAAACGTTATTTATTTGTACCCCTTCCCCCGAAATTATGTAAATTCCACGAACCAAATCTCAAATAGTAATATTTCATGCATTATCATGATTCTTAAAAGGTGTTGTGAAGTCAAAAAGTTGTATGCGTTAAACAGAACCTTTTAATGTGATAAAATTTACATTTATTATTACGGTTGTTTATTTCCAGGCCATGCCTCTCCATCTATCGTAAACGTTTTATTACATTAAAGGGGCTTGGTGACATTTACAGTATTTAATGCTCGATGTGTTCTTTACAACTATGCGCGTATTACTAACTGAATAGGAAAGAGCATTCGACATGTTTAATTACTCTTGGCCATATCACCGCTAATGTAGTAAGATACATATTATCATTACATACAAGGTGTTACAAAAGTTCTACATAATTTGTAGAATTGCAAGATACTGACATTCAAAATTTAATAATTAGCGGCGATTTGAATATTTTTCAGCACAATAAAGAGAACAACAATTGTACAAGGAATTAGTCCTAGCAAAAAGACTCATTTCTACCAATGTATGCATGTCTTTCTACTAGAAGGACGAGGATGTCAACCATATGGGCTCCGAGATGACACCCTATACATGGTATTTTAAAAAACCAATTGTTTCATTTGAAAGGTCAAAAAAAAATTAATTATTCCCAATAATTGGTCAGCGATAGACAATTTAATAATAATAATCGATAATAAAAAGTTTTTCTAGGTAGTCAGAAAATGTTAGCACATCATTTTGTAAGGATAAAAATAATAAAAGATACGTTAGGTGAATCATTTTCTGCTGATAATTGGTCAGGTAAGTTAAATAATCGGTCAGATCAAGTTTTTTGAAAAAAATAATAATTAAGTGGATATCTAGACCAATTTTTGTTTTTTTTATCTGTATTTACGCATATATTTTCGAATTATTAACTTCTTGGACAGTTTCGATGTATATAGATATATATATATTGTGGACTACCACTACGAATAAACTACTTAGCGTAAAATTCCTCAATTTTTGACTCCCTTTCTTTTCGCAGAACTCAAACATCTAACCTACCCCGTCTCCCTTCATAATTTTTCAATACGTAACGCATAAACTGTGAAAGTTTTAAACTTCAATTCATAATGTAAAGTAAAGAACATAATCAAATCCTTTTTAATAACGAAAGGCATTTTATAATTTACAATACTAATTCACCTTCAAATTAAGAATTAATCAACATTAAAGTCTGGTCTCACGTTGCTAAACAACGCAAATTCATTTATATGTTGGTAGGATGACAGAATTATTCCGTCAATGCCACATATAATCAACTTTCCGGCTTACGTAACGCAAATTTTGACTCGTACCTCTCTCCAC